ACTTTCCTGGTAATGATTGGCATTGTACTTTGAACTGGCCTAGTGCTTCTCCCAGCCATCACACCTTATTTATTTATGACTAAATCGAAATTGAATGATCTTAATTGAAACTGCATGATCTAAATTGAAATTGCAGCAAGAAAAAGATTGCACACATTTTGGTGCTCACATCACAGGCTAAACTTTGAACTGACATCATAGTAACACTACAATTGGCTTATATTGTTGGATGTTGAAAAAATGACACACACAAATCCGAGAGCTAAGGATATACATGACCCAAGAATCAAGATAAACAACACGGTCAATCTTCTCATACCCAATCTAAACTGCTTGAAGATTACATATGGATGATTACCCAAGAATCTAAACCAGGCATAATGATGCTTTGTCTACAAAAAGTAAACAAGAACACAAAACTCTCATCAGTTCAAGAAGACGAGGACAGAAAACTTTTGGCAGGAGGGATCCGAGCAACAGCAACATGTTCAGGCTTTGAGAACTTCCGATAAACTGCTTGAAGATTACTCTCTGCGGCATTCAAATGAAAGCCAACCAAGAGCTTGGCGCAATCCCTGTTGTATGACAAAGAACACAATCGAACTAGTAAATATAAACCACATCTGTTTCCCCACTCACAGCTACACATACCCGAATATAATTGATAACTGAGGAAGGTTATATACAGAAGAAGACATCACCTTAACTGTTCTTCAGAGTAGCCAGTGTGGTGCTTCAGGGTTTCAGTCCACAAAGGAGCTTTGTTGAGGGTGCAACGTGCAGCATAGACAGCTGCAGCAGCTATCAGAGATGGGGAGTACCGAACAGTAGTTGGATAATGCATAATTCCAAGCTCGGCTAGAAAGAAAACCATATTCTTCACCTGCATTACAAAAAGGTAAGAGAATCACATTAGTATTTGTTACTTCACTAAAAATAAAGCTTAAAGTATGATTCAATATCGATATTTATCACAAATCATGGTGAATTAAATACCTCTTCACCAGGTGAAACAGAGGCTTTGATGTATCTAGACAGGAAGACATATGGGGTGGGAACTGTCAGGTACCATTCCAACTTCCCCAGAATTGCTTTCTCCATCAGAAGTATCTGATCACCAGTGTATGCATAGTCTGATAAGCAAACAAAGTCATTGACCTGCATATCAAGAACCCATTTTCAGATTAAAAAAGATACTAGTTAGAAATCAAGTATGAATAATTCATAAAATAACTGAATAAGAACATTACCTGTGGAGCCCAGATTTCCTCATATTTGGATGCTATAACCATAGAACTAATACCAACTAGCTGAAGTTCCCTCCTAGAAACGATCTTCATTGACAAGTATCGATCAATTATGTTCACAGTCAGGTAGAAGGTTTCAGGCATCAGTTCAAATTTCCTGTGAACTTCGACCAACCAGTCTATGAGGATTGATCTCATCTTTGGGTTTATGTCTGGCTGTGACTCCATGTAATCATGAACTCTGCTGTCATCCTGCACAAGGAAGTTTTCTTTAGTAAGATGAGATAAGAAAAGGGGAAATTTGAAGTGAGGGGAGGAGAGAATAAGAACCTACTTCAGTGAGCTTGTAGAATTGGTACAAGTCATCAATGTATTCCACTACTGCCAATTCATCACTAACATCAGCTGAATCAAAATCAACAATCTTTTCCTTTGGCTTGATGTCAACTTCACAAGCCATAGCCTGCAGAAAACATAAATTTAATACCCCAACAAATAAAAGGTAGCATTTCTCTCACAATGTGTTAAAAAGTCATCACAAATACGAAAAGAACGTCTAAACTCACCTTGCTTCGAGCTGTGAGGATTGAAGTTAGAGTCTTGACTTCCTTCCTTGAAGGCCCTTCTACGGGCTTGCATCGGTTCACTTGTTTATCTTTTTCTTCTTCATCATCAGAACTTATAACCACCAGAGTCTCAGATATTGGCTTTTCAATTGCCTTCTTGGGAGCAACTGCGGCCTTCTTGGCAGGACCACGTTTTCTATTAAGAGCAGCTGCCCTATCTTCAAGAACCGGCAGTACTGGGTTCTACAAATTCAAAGAGCCAAAAACATAAATAGGTATAAAAACTCCTAGTTTCAAAACTAGAATTTCATGACAAAAAGTGGTAAAAAGGTTATTACCCCGTTCTTTTCTGCTTTAGCTTGTGCCTTGGCTAACAATTGTGCATGAAAGCTTCTGCAAGTCAAGAAATTGTTAGGAATTGCACGTGTAAATTAGAGAGAGAGAGAGAGAGAGAGAGAGAGATAGAGAGAGAGAAACCTAGTCATAGGGCGAGAAATATGAACAAGGGGCTTCCCTTCAACAAGATGAGCAGCCTCAAGATTATTACCAATGTCTCCAAGAACACGCCGGTTCCTTCTTTGTGCTTCATTCTTTACTTTGTCATTCCCTTTGAGAAAAACAAACGTGAACATGTAAATTAACAAAACTTGATTTTCTGAATGAAAGAAATACATGAAAAGGACGAAATAAAAAAATTAAAATACAAAGAACCGCCCCAAAAAAATCTGAAATCGCTACAACCACAAGAGATAACTGCAATCGATCAAATAAGAGAAACCCAGTTGGCACTGACTGAACCCAAACCATAAAGAATCATAGCAGGAAAAATGAAAAGGACAAACAGTAAACCCAACAACCAGAAACCCAATAAATTCTACGTTCCAAATTTAAGAAAAAGAAAACAAATAATTGAAATGATGGAATAATAACCCCAACCCACCAATGATCAGGGCAAGAGAAACCCACATAACATTATCCCAGAAACATAAACCCAGTATGCTAAAGGAAGAAAAGTACTAAAAACCAAAATGAAATTTAAAAGAATCGTTGTTCTATTCAAAAATCAGAAGCTGGGATCGGTAAATACCTCTTGGTTGTTGCGGAAGAACCATTGCTCTAACGTCCTCCATGGTTGGCAGAGATCTCTAGCCTTCTCGGGTTTCTGGATTCAATGACTTCCTCAAAGAAAGTCTCCTTCTTTTCTCCCTCCCTCTTTCTCTGTTTGCTCTGCGCTTGTGTTTCTTGTTTCGGGAGTCTAAAAGTAAAGCAAAGGGCAGTATTTGAAGCTCGAGAACCCACGTTGGCTCCAACGGTCAAATTTTTTTTATTTGAAATTTCGATCGTTGATTTCGCATATGGCTACGATTGAATTTCAAGACGGTTGTAATTGGCAAGTTACTCCTATTTGGCATTTGCCATACTAGGCTATAAGCATGTGTTGACGCACGGGTTAAGTGGTCTTTTTCATTTTCGTAGGTATATTTAATATAATTTGATATAAAAAAATGGTATATATAATATAATTCTATAAACAGAAATAGTGGAAACTAACGTGGGGATATGTTTTTACATAAATAAAACATTTTTTCAAAATTTAAGGGAAAGTGGGTCTTTTCTTTTTCCTTTTATTTTTTTTTTTACTTTAAACTTTTTCAATTTTCATTATATATTATTCGCGTTTAGTAAAAAAAAAATTCCCCAAGTTCTTAAGATTTTGATTTTGATTTTGATTTTTGCCAAAACTAGGAAGGGTAGGGAACACTCACACACGCGAGTACCATGGGGGCTTGAACTTAGGACCACTTGGGAGCACACCAAGGGGCCATTTACTTACCAGGAATGGAGGAAGTAAGGAATTGGGGAATTTAGGAATCATTGAAGTAATGAATCAGTATAGGAAGAATCATTCTCATTAAGTTGTTTACTAACCATGTGGAATCATCACAGGAATAGAGTTAATTTCCATTGTTATTGTTTACCTCTCATGAATCATAACCTAAACTAATTTGATTACTAAGATGCCATGCACATATAAATATATATATTTTTCACTTGAATAACTTTTAAAAAAGCAAATTGAATAATATAAGATACTGTATAACAAGTGATGAAAAAACAAGTATATAAAAATATAAGGAATATTATAGAAGAAAAAAAAAATGACACAGTGGTAAGAAGCATAACAAGACAAGTAGAGGCTAGCAACCAAGGTGAAAAGGGACAAATTTTACTTTTTCCAATGGTGATTAATAAACAACCATTGATTTTTTTCAAAAACAAAACAAAACGGCTTCAAAGTTTGGTTTCTTCATTTTATGGGATGGAAGAACATAACAAGTGTCAATATTTTTTTATGTCCATGTTCCTCCATATTGTGGTGCTAAACTAACCAATTTCAAATAATATTTTAACAAAATCAAATAATAATAACCTAAGCATAATCTTGATAATATTAAAGTGACGTGAGTTTTTATTTGTATAGGGTTTGGGGTGTTTTGTAATTATTTTAAAGTGGTAAGGGTAATTTTGGAAGGTAGTAAGGGAAAAATGGAATGGGAATTGGATCAACTACCCCTACCTAGTTGATCTGATTACAGATTTTGAGATGGGATCCACACATTTTTTCATTCCTAAGACCATTTTGTGTGATTTTGATTAGGGTTAAGTGGTTTTTTCATTTTTAGGTATATTTTATTTTTAGGCATATTGTATATTTTATTTTACAACTAATGTGGTTTTGACACATGTTAAATTATTTTAATATTATTTTATACTTTTTTTGTTGAAACTTTGTTAATGTTTTAAGGAGCTCGTCCTCAATTTTACAGTCATGCTCTCTTTTAAATTTATTATGTAAACAGAAGTGGGAGAAGAAAAAAAATGAAAAGTAAGAAAAACAGGGAAAAGTGGGTATTTTGTTTTTATTTTAAACATTTTCAATTTTTACTATGTATTATTCTCGTTTAATAAATTTCTTCTTTCTCAAGATTTTGATTAACTATTAAAGGGATGTAATGCGAAGTTGCATTATTGCTGCTTTCATACACACTTCAAGCCATTTCTCATTTGGTTCATTTTAGACAAAAGTCTCTCATGCAACATAGAAATGATACAGTAGAAGGAACATTACTATTTCAGTATTCATCTACTCCAATCCAATGTTTAATAATGCATTAATATTTTTGATTTCTATCCAAATCCAAGTAAGAAACTCCTTACAAAGAATACAAAGAATAGCAGTAGCTTGCAGCAATTGGACCATTAGCCTCTGCAGCTGATCTTATCTATCTAATACACAATCTGAATCAGCAGAAACGTAACTATGTTTGTATTTTAGAACAATACGGTTGTGAGAATCTTCTCATACTCATTACTCAATCTAAAAACACCACTAGCACATATGGGATATGGGTGCTTTTGTCTACAAAAAGTAAACAAGACTCAAAATAAACACAACACTTGAATCAGCTCAAGAAGAAGATGAGGACTGAAAACTCTTGGCCGGAGTGAAAAGAGCAACGGCAGCATGTTCAGGCTTCGAGAATTTCCGATAAACTGCTTGAAGGTTGCTTTCTGCAGCTTTCAAGTGAAAGCCCACCAGAAGCTTGGCGCACTCCCTGTTGTATGACAAAAGAACACAACACTCCACAATTAGTAATATTGACTGCAAATATGCTAATTATAATTTATAACTGAAGAGGGTTATAACTTATTTATAGAAGAAGACATTACCTTAACTGTTCTTCAGAGTAGCCAGTGTGGTGCTTCAGAGTTTCAGTCCAGAAAGGAGCTTTGTTGAGGGTGCAACGTGCAGCATAGACAGCTGCAGCAGCTATCAGGGAGGGAGAGTACCGAATAGTAGTTGGATAATGCATAATTCCAAGCTCAGCTAGAAAGAAAACCACATTCTTCATCTGCATTACACAAACGTAAGAGAATCAAATTAGTAATTAGTATATGTTACTTCACTAAAAATAGACCTTAAAGTATGCATGGCTATATTGTCATGATGAAATAAGTACCTCTTCACCAGGTGAAACAGAGGCTTTGATGTATCTAGACAGGAAGACATATGGGGTAGGAACTGTCAGGTACCATTCCAACTTCCCCAGAATTGCTTTCTCCATCAGAAGTATCTGATCACCAGTGTATGCATAGTCTGATAAGCAAACAAAGTCATTGACCTGCATATCAAGAACCCATTTTCAGATTAAAAAAGATACAAGTTTGAAATCAAGTATGAATAATTCATAAAACAACTGAATAAGAGAACATTACCTGTGGAGCCCAGATTTCCTCATATTTGGATGCTATAACCATAGAACTAATACCAACTAGCTGAAGTTCCCTCCTAGAAACGATCTTCTTTGACAAGTATCGATCAATTATGTTCACAGTCAGGTAGAAGGTTTCAGGCATCAGTTCAAATTTCCTGTGAACTTCTACCAACCAGTCTATGAGGATTGATCTCATCTTTGGGTTTATGTCTGGCTGTGACTCCATGTAATCATTAACTCTGCTGTCATCCTGCACAAGGAAGTTTTCTTTAGTAAGAGAAGCGATAGGAAAAGGGGAAATTTGAAGTGAGGGGGGAAGAGAATAAGAACATACTTCAGTGAGCTTGTAGAACTGGTACAAGTCATCAATGTATTCCACCACAGCCAATTCATCATTAACATCAGAAGAATCAAAATCAACAATCTTTTCCTTTGGCTTGACGTTAACTCCACCAGCCATAGCCTGCAGCAAACAAAAATTCAATACCCCAACAAATAAAAGGAAGCAATTCTCTCTCAATATGCTGGAAAATCAACAAACTTACCTTGCTTCGAGCTGTGAGGATCGAAGTCAGAGTCTTGACTTCCTTCCTTGAAGGCCCTTCTACTGGCTTGCATTGGTTCACTGGTTTATCCTTTACTCTTTCGTCAGAACTTATAACAACCACAGTCTCAGATTTTGGCTTTTCAATTGCCTTCTTGGGCGCTACTACCACTGCTGCCTTCTTGGCAGGACCTCGTTTTTTATCTTCAACAACCGGCAGCACAGGGTTCTACAAATTTAAAAAGCCCAATACCATGAACAGGTATAATTAACTTCAAGATTCAAAACTAGATATTCATTATATAAAGAGATAAAAAGCAGTGGTTCAAGATTATTACCACATGATTCTTTTCTGCTTGTGCTTGTTGTGCCTTTGCTAACAGTTGTGCATGAAAACTTCTGCAAGTCAAGATCAACTTGTTAGTAATTTCGCCTGTGCGTGCGTGTGTGTGTGTGTGTGTGTGTGAGAGAGAGAGAGAGAGAGAGAGAGAGAGAGAGAGATAAACCTAGTTATGGGGCGAGAAATCTGAACAGGGGGCTTCCCTTCAACAATACGACCAGCCTCAAGATTATTACCAATGTCTCCAAGAACACGCCGGTTCCTTCTCTGTGCTTCATTCTTGACTTTGTCATTTCCTATAAGAAAAACAAACATGAACATATAAATAAATAAAAACCTTGATTTTCTGAATGAAAGAAATACATGAAAATGGCCGAAATCAAGAAATTAAAATACAAAAAACCCCCAAAAGAAATCTGAAATCGCTACAACCCAATCAATTCTGCGTTCCAAATTTACAAAT